CTACTGAATCTCATTTCGAGCAGATCCCTGGGTGATGTGTTTGCACACCTAGCCACGTACCATCAGCTGGCTGAGCCCACAAATCTAAGTATCTAACTGTGGGGACCACCTGAGCAAGTTCACTGAGAAAGTATTCAAAGCTCCTAAAGTAATCGTTTGTTGTGTGGAGGTGGAGAGAGCTGAGACCAGCTCAATCTTGTCCAAGGTCGGATCACACAGTGATCCATGTGAGACTAGAAACAGTGGATTAGATTCAGGAAGTAGGACAGTGTTTGTAAGCAGGTGATAGCATGCTGCCAGTGACTGTAGCACTCACTACAGGTGCCTCTAAAAAGCCAAACCTGAGGCTAGAGAGATGTCTCCAGGTTAAAAGTGTCTACTGCTCTTCCAGAAGACCTGAGGTCAATTCCCAACACCCTCTTCAGGGCCCTCCCAACCACCTGTAACTCCAGCTCCAGGCAGATCTGATTTCTCTGGCCTCTGTGGACACCTGTGCTCATGTGCACCCTCTCCCCTCCCCACAGATACATTTAAAGAAAAATAATAAAAATACGTACCCAATGTCTGTGCCCGACCTAACTAGATCCATGGGGGTAAGATCATTTTTGAGAACTCAAGAAGTTACATTGTCCTGATGGTATCTGTGACTTGTTTTCTTGTCCAATCCAGGCCACAAAACAGCTTCTACTGGCAAACATGTTCTGCCAGACACGTGGCGAAATAGAAAGTTGATGGCACCAGTAAATGGGACTCCGCTGGCTAAAAACTGCACAGATCCTGGTAAGGCATGCTCGCCCCTTCCCTGCAAGCATTTAACCCCAGCTTGGGTTTGATACTTATGTGGACAGATCCAGCCAATGCTGGGAAAGACAGTCTTAGGAACCTGAATGAGAAAGGGGAGCTGCATGGTGTTGAAATGAGACCTATAGACATTCGTCAGCCACGCTGCTAAGCAACACAAAAGCTTTCTTTATCCGGCAACTACGAAGGTCACATTCGAGAGTCTAAAAATGTTATCTTTTGTTCTAAAGGTGTTATATCTCCCCTGCTCTCTTGGTTTTGCCCTGCTGTCTGTCATTTTTCCCTTTGCTCGCCATGTGCATTTGATGGTCCCCTTCGGACAATGAATCCATGGCTTGTGGTGGGTTTCTTCGTCAGATGACCTACCAGGATGGGAGCACTCCAGGCCAGTGAAGGGAGGATTCTGAGTTAGTTGCTGGGCCCGTCCTCTCTAATGAAAGTCCTCAGGTAGTTGGGTTGTGCTTGTCCTGGGAACTCTTTTAATGTTCTTCACTAGGGTATCTGGGGGTGGTAGGATCCCAGGGGTAACATTTGATCTATTCTGCTACAGTCAGGTTTCACTTGAACCAGCAAAACAGTTCTCAGGAGGAGGGAGTGTACTGTTGGCAGAGATGTGTGACTGTTGCTCAGGCCTCTCATAGGGCAGGTCTAGGCATTTGTTCTGGATCTAGCTCTTGGAGTCTTTGTGAGGAGAATACAGTAGAGTGACGAATTCAGAAGCCCTCAGGGAGGAAGGAGATGTTGTTATGGATGGCTTTTCTATTGAGTTTCTGGGCAAATCATGCAGTTTTCTGGGATTTCTAACCTGCAACGTGGGCAGAATGGTGCTTGCCTACTCTGGGTTGTTGAAGAATCTGTCGAGGCTCTGCAAAGGACTGTGTGTAGGAGATGGACCCACCAGGCAAAGGAGTAGGCTTGGGTGCAGAGCTCCAGGCTTCTGATGTCAGCCTCCGGGAAGGCAGTGTCTTTTTATGTGGTGGAGACACAAGATGATCAAAGTCACACAAGTCATTAGTACCAACTCTGGCTTCAGAACCTAGGTCTGTGTGCCTAGACTGTGTGTTGCGCTTCATGTGCTCTGCTGACTGAGACAGAGCTTCTCAACCTGTGGGTCGCGACCCCTTTGGGGATTGAATGACCCTTTCACAAGGGTCTCCCAAGACCATCAGAAAACTCAGATATTTGCATTACAGTTCATCACAGTAACAAAATTACAGCTACAAAGTAGCAATGAAAATAACTTTACGGTTGGGAGTCACCACACCATGAGGAACTGTATTAAAGGGTCAGAGGGTTAGGAGGGTTGAGAACCACTGCTGTAAGCTAGCTTTCTGTTCACCATGAACCTCTCTTTCCCAGGAGGCCTTCTAGAAAGAGTTTGGAGTATGGAGGAATAGTGAGGACTTTCAAAGCGGCATTTGTAAGTCCTACTGAGCTGGACATTTATTCCTGAATCATCCCATCATTTTGGTGACCCCACAGGCAGTGGTACACACACACACACACACACACACACACACACACACACACACACACACTGCTCTGTCTCCTGACTAGGGGCATTTACTCAATCATGAACATGTTAAGCCATGGACTTTATTTTTATTTATTTATTTATTTTTTATTTTTTTGGTTTTTCGAGACAGGGTTTCTCTGTGTAGCCCTGGCTGTCCTGGAACTCACTCTGTAGACCAGGCTGGCCTCGAACTCAGAAATCGCCTGCCTCTGCCTCCCAAGTGCTGGGATTAAAGGCGTGCGCCACCACCACCCAGCCAAGCCATGGACTTTAAAGCAGTGTGTTCTCTCCCACTGGAAGGACTGACTTTGTCTACTTGTGGAGAGGGAAATGAGAGAAGCCATCCATATCTTTAGCAGTAATTAACACTCAAATTACACGTTGTGCTGACTATACCCATAGTGGACCTAGCAATTGGGATGGTGTAATAAAAACACATCTTGACACACAGTAATCTCTGTGGTGTTTTGCAAAGATGGGGACATAAATCCCAGCTCAGTGGCTCCTGAAGGTCTCATCTCTGAGTAAACTGAGTTTTGGTGCAGTCTTAGCTACTCTCATTGCTGTGGCAAAGCATCACAGCCAGTGTAATGTATAAAAGGAAGCGTTTAATTGGGCTTACAGTTTCAGGGAGCCCATGACGGTGGAGCAAAGGCATGGCAGGAGGAACAGCTGAGAGCTCACATCTTGATCCACAAGCAGGAGGCAGACACACACACACACACACACACACACACACACACACACACACGGGGTGGGGGGTAGGTAATGGCACACATCTTTTGAAATCTCAAGTCCAGCCCATGACACACCTTCCAAAGGCTATATATACATCCTAATTCTTTCCAAGCAGTTCTACCAATGTAGGGACCAAGTATTTAAGCACTCTGAATGAAAGAGCCATTCTCATTCAAACCACCCCAAGGGCCGTGCCCTTCCCATTCTCACTCCCATATCTTCCAAAGCCAGATGGGGGTTTCCATTCTTCCTTCCTTCCTTCTTTCTTTCTTTCTTTCTTTCTTTCTTTCTTTCTTCCTTCC